GGCCCCGTTCTCCCGGGGGCCGGGCTCCATCTACCCGGGGCCCGGGCCCATCCACCGGGGCCCGGGCTCCATCCACCCGTGGGCCCAGGCCCCATCTACCCGGGGCTCGGGCTCCATCTACCTGGGGCCCATGGACCCTCACCCGTGGTGTCCCAGTAGGCATTTCTCGAAGCGGGCTCGTCCGATTAGATTAGGACCTCTCTCCTCCCTCCCTCTCCCTCTCTCTCTCTCTCTCTCTCCCACTCTCACTCTCACTCTCTCTCACTCTCTCTCTCTCTCTCTCTCTCTCTCTCTCTCTCTCTCTCTCTCTCTCTCTCTCTCTCTCTCTCTCTCTCTCTCTCTTCGCTATCCCAGAGCGGGCCCCTGACAGAAATTTCGGGGGGGGGGGGTCAGCTGACCCTCTGACCCCCCTGGCTGCGCCACTGGTGTAAGTGCAACTGTAACTACATACATCATTCTGCAGACTGCAATCGGTTCGAAGCCAAGGGAGGGACGGCAGGGACAGCCGTCTTTCCCTTGATCAGCTGGGTGTTTATTAGATCATTCGTTTTACTCATTGGCCGTTTTCACGACGGAATAGCAGGCATCTATTTGATACCAATATAATCCTTTGGTTCCTCAGGAATTTTAGTAGTTCTTTTTAGTAGGTTTACCAGCTTTCGAATGAATGGCGCGTTAGTTTGCTATTTTTCTATTAAATATCACATCGATTTACTTATCTAAGGATTTATCACTAACATCAACATAAAGCGTAAGCACAATTATAAAATTATGAAATTATTAAATACTAGTACAATAGTTAAAAAAAGATACTGAGTTGCCACACTACAAAAGATATATTCATTTATGGCGCACGACAGACATTTAGAAAGCAGCGCCCTGTTTTATTGCACGCTGCTAGCCGCTTCCATTGGGTTTTGCAGGCCGACGTCATTGGTTGTTACACGTATGATGTCACGCGACTTGTGGCCTATCACGGCTCTTTAATGATCTCCACTAAATGAATGCAACAATGGCCTTTTAAGTTGATATCTGTGGCCATCTGTCTATGGAGCGACCAATATGAAAGTTAGATGAATTTACCGGGGTTACATGACTATGAGCAAGCAAATGTGTATCAGGAATGGATTCAGGTGGAGAATTGCGCTGGACCATGAGTGCTCGAGCGCTCCCAATTCCACGCCGGTTTGGCTTTGGAGCCGAGACAGACGATGCGGGTCAAGGTCACCGCTGGGGTAACGCTGGATTGGCTGCGCCCGAGCACCCGTAACGCGGCACAATTCTCCATCTATAGATTTTCCTATTCGCTCAGCATTGTGATACCTAGGTGTTCGTAATAGCAATTACTCTGCTTATGTACTTATCCCCGGTTATTTAAAAGAAGTTTTTGTGAGGGGATATCACGGCTATAGGTAGGTTCTCAGTTGCCCTATTCACGACTTTCAAAGAATGCTCCGATATCTAAATACCGCACAGACCTACTGCATTGGTGAATCTGACAAAAGGTCTGTGGAATTACATTCCCCCTCACCACACCCCTAAAAACTCATCCAGTGTCCAAAACCACTTTTATCGACTCGCCAAAAAAAAAAAAAAAACACACACACACACTCACACAAAGCATGGGGCATGTCAGCTCTCAGTTCATTTATCATTGTCTTTACCATGGTTCAATTGCATTGCGCGATTCAAAGCACGTGAGTGCCTATATAGTATATATGTAGAAAATAATACCTACAGCAAAACATCAAAAATTACAAAGGCTACAATGCTTAAAAAGTAGGTTCATCAAGGAAGCCCATTTTAGCTTGCGTGGTGTTGCCAACCATGCGATTCCAACGCGGGCTATTCACAACGTCTGCAAAGGCACGTTAACAACTGACAAGCCGCCACCGCTGCCACTTATTCATACATAGATGGTTGATATCGCAGCTTGAGCGTCAGCAGCGCGGCCCACAACGCGTCGGCGCCAGCGCACGCAGCTGTTGGCACTCGGCAGCCGGTGTTGCGACCAGTGTTCGCCACGGGCCGGGCCAGCCCAACGGGCCACGGGCCGGGCTGGGCTACGGGCTGGGCCGGGCCCCCAAATATCATTAGTTAACGGGCTATGGATGGGCCGGGCCAAGAACTTTGTGCACTATGGGTTTTGCGACTAATGTCAATTTAAGAAAATTTGGAAACTGATGCAAACAAAACCCACTGGGAAAATACAAAAACTAAACCAAATTTAAGCAATGTGAAAGAAAACCTACTTGATATTGAATTTTGGGAATCTTGAGAATTATCCAATATCACATCATGTCACACATAGGAGGGTTTTCATAAAAATTCCGCAACCAAAAAGATCAGAGAATCTCTAGCATCATTAGTTTGTTAATAAAAGTTAAAATGTAGTCATCAGAACAACTTACTTAGCACTACAACTCCAAAAACTAAGAAGCCACTCAACAATGATGGGCTACAGGGCTACATTAAGTTAACACTTATATATGGCGATAGTGAGACAATTCCAACACAGTCTTTTTTCCTTCACCGACGGCTTTTTAACGAACAGAACCTTAAAAGGATACTCACAAAACACACTGTAAGTAACGAGGAACTCTACAGAGTATTTCGCGATGAAAGCTTCTTTAAATGTCCATAAATTTGTCAAAATAAATCACAACAAACCAGCCCCTTCTCAACAAAATGTGCAATCATGGCGGCGGCGCTATGTTTATGTGGCGGCATCTAGGTAGTATACACAACAGTATATCAAATAAATACGTTTTTTAAGTGAGTATCAAGGTGAAAACAAAATTAAACCAATGAAAAATAAAACCAAAATCACGAAGTCTGAAAACTCGAACGAAAAACAAAACAAAAACTTGATCATATATGTTTTATTATACAATTCGTCAGAATCGCTACCTGCCGCAGCTGCGACAATCAAGAAGTGTTCGCTCATTTTCGATTGATGATGATGATGCGTACAAGTCGCAAAAGTACCCAATGACATTTCAAGCTTACCATGTTTTCTGCTTACGCTGCTAGCGATATCCATATCTTGAAAAGAGCCTAACATAAAATAGCAAGGAAAGTAGCAGATAGTTGTCCACAGAGATTCGGTTGACACGTGGGCATGAATTGAAAATAGATTAAATCAGTTTTGCTGATAAATGGATGGATTTTCTCTTTTTTTGGAAGACAGTGCTAAAGTTAGTGTCACCTATTTTGTATGCTTTCTCAGGCTTTTGATATTGCAGCATCTATGGAGTGAATTTAACAGCAAGGTCAATCCCAGACAGATTCATCAATTCCCATAAGTCAAGCTTTTTTTCTGCTGGTAAGTGCTGGGAAGTATAGAGTATGTTGCAAATACTTCCTTCAAGTATGCATTAGAGTCACCAATTATTAATGATAATGTTCACACACATCAGCTTGCAAGATAACTTTACTCATAGAATGTAGTTAATATAATCATGTAAACTTTTTATAGGTGTGTAATCATGACCTAATTGACTGAGGTGCTTGCTGTTACTGTTAAAATTTGTGCCATAGGTGCTTGAAATGATTATATTCATTGAAAAGAAGGGAGTCATGATTGCCATGTTAATATTCATGCAATTTGAATTGTTCTCAAAATAGTGTAATCAATCATGCTTATTATAGCCATAGACTAAGACAATAACTAGATTGCTATTTTTGACGGGCCGGGCCGGGCTGGGCTTGGAATATTTGCCAAGAGCGGGCTACGGGCTGGGCCGGGCTCTGAACCCATGGGCCCGGGCCGGGCTGGGCTGGGGATTTTGGGGCCCGTGGCGAACACTGGTTGCGACTTAACGGCCGGCCGGCCCCATGAAGGAGAAGCTCTTGCTGAAGTTTTGTGATCGCCTCATAGCCGCCTTGGATGTCATCTTTCTTGGCAGATCCATCCGTTCAGATGGTACGGTGCAGTCTGGATAAAGGACGAAGTCCAACGCCGCTAACCCCGCGACGGCCACCCCAGAACGTGGCCGCAGATCGAACGGGCGTGAGGGCCGTAAGGGCCACCCCGCCATCCGGTAGGTGGCTGAGCAGCCGGGCGCAGCGGCGCCTGGGCGGCGGCCGCGCTGAGATGAAGTCCCAAACCGCCATGTCGCCATCACCGCCATCACCATTGCTGCAGCTGTTCCCAACCGCCTCCATTGCCGCCGTTGTCAGGTATTGCCAGCAGCCGCGCCGCGGGATGTCAGAAGCCGCGCCTCCAGCGCCCCTCTCCGCACGTGTGCAGGTGCTCTGCGGCCGCCGGGTCCGACGTCCAGGCAGAACATGATATTTCCATGCTGCTCCGACGGTGGGCTGGTCTTGTTTGGGTGTTCCTCCACTGTGACGTCGGTCACGCCTACCCCGGCCAGGGCGCAGAGGCCGACGTCTCACCATCCGGTTGCGGTCCTCAGTCGGGTCGCAACGTGTGCCTCTACCGCAGCGTGGAGCGCGCTCCCGCTGGGCAGCGATACAGCCAAACGTAACATGCGGGCGGCCAGCGCTGCGCCGGACAGCGGACCCATGCAGGGGGTATGCCGGTCTCGGCCATTAGCGGGGTCGTCGGGGCCGAGGCTGTACATACAGCTGGTGACCGCGTGAGCCGCCAATCGAAGCTCACGGCTTATAAGCTCGACGCGGGCATCACACGTTGTCCCGATGGGAGCTCCACGACGCCGCCGCGAACTCCAGCAGCGCGGCTCGCAGCGCGAAGACCGGTACGGACGGCCGGGGCGCAAACGGCGTGCGGGAGTCGCAGGCGACGGAAGACGTTCTGCGGACAGAAAGGGTTGGGCATAAGCTGGTCGGCAGGACACTCTTGAGCCGAGCCTTTGATGTAATTACAGATGATCCAGAGGCATGCACAAAAATTCATGACACACTATTCCCATTTATGTATTTGCTACATATGATATGATATACCAGCTCATGATCAGTGACGCATTCTGGGCAATATGTTCTAAAATGAAATAACTGAAGTTACAATTGACAGCTTAAAAAAACACACACACGCACACTAGGGTGGCACTTAAAAATTGATTTTTGATTTTTTTTTGCGTGCGGGCGGTTTTCTAGTTCCATACCCGGAAAAAATAAAGTATGCAAATTTTTTTTTGAAAAATATGTATATTTAGAGGTCGCGAATCGATGGCAAAGTTGAGATTTTGGTGGCAATTTCCATAGTTCTGAAATTCCTTTCAAACGCTATTGCTACACTACTTTTGGATTATTTAAATGCATTTCATAGTCATTTTTATTGTTTATTGACACTTCAGTCAGCTTTGGTCACACCGCAACACTGATGCTCACGAGCCCCGTCTTCTCAGAGCATTAGCTCCTCACCAGGGGGTTGGAGGTATCATGGGCACACCCATCTCATACTTTATGTGGCCTGCCCAAGGCCCTATATACCAGGTAGGGTCGTCCGGCGATTCTACCTTTTCGTGACGTCAGCTCGTGACGTCATTTGGAGTCAAGTCTCGAAGCCCCGTTCAATCCCCATGTAAATGAGCGATTTTCGAAGCACTGTAGAATGAAGTCTGCACAAGATATATCAAACCTAAGTATCTTATCTGAAAGAGCAGACAATTTTCTGCAAGTTATCTATTACGTGTTTTTCGCTAAATCTTTTGCTTTTTTCACAAAAGCGTAAAATGTCCCCCCATGTCTCCGCAGCCTCCCTGCCGCCGGCCGCCGCGCGGTCGCGGTAGTGTAGTGGTTAGCGTGCCCGCGCAGTATTCCAAAGGTCCCGAGTTCGAATCTATGCGGTGCGGAACTTTAATTGCAATTCCAAGCTGAATATACGCACATCCATAATAAATTATTATTCGTATAGCTAAACTGTCACCAAGCTATCCATATAAATTGACTTCACCCAAAATATCGGCAAGATTCTATTAAAATATAAATTCAAATATGGCGGCTTGGACTGCCGCGTGCGTTAGGCTCCGCCCATAGCTCCGCCCACATGCGTGACGTCATTCGTGTTAGTGGACACGCAGAGAGATAGGGGACGACATGGGCCTGGGCCTGCCTGGCAGTCGCAGTCGACTTGCAGGCGTCGGGGTAGCGTTTTCTGTGGTCCTCAACGACCTGCAGGAGGAACTGACGCTGATCCTCGTCTTTCGTGAGGGCCAGGTTATAGGCCTGCATCAACGCCACTCCGCGCTCGGCGAAGTCATTCACGACTTGCAGCTCTCGGACCACACGAGCTGCGGCTTGGTAGCTGCTGTCCTCCTCCCAGTGGGCAGGATCCTGCTTGAAGAACCCTGTTTCCAGGTCGAGGATCTTGAAGAGCTGCTTGGATGACGGGGTGACGAAGCTCGCTACCGTCTTGGTCGCGAGAGTGGCGCTGTTGATGTCCACTGTGGATTTGCGGGGCGGGTCCTCGTCCTCCTCCTCCTCCTCCTGTAAGTCCATGGCCCGCACCATGTCTCGCTTGACCCCGAGAGGAAGGTCGGGGTCGAAGAGTGCCAGAGCTACCAGCCGTTCGCTCAAGTACCACAGGTGGCGGCCGAAGACAGGGACTGTTGCCTTCGACAGCTCCTTGTCGGGGTTGGCGTGGAGAGCGTTCATGAAGGCCAGGTCCAGCGCCGGCGCAGCAGCGGCGAATGGAGTCCGAAAACAAGCGGCGGCGTACGTGCGGACGACGAACAGCGCACAGCGCCTGATGCCCCGGGCCTCGGCAGCGGTCAACCGAAACTGCTCCCTAAAGAGGAAGGTCTTCACAGCGTAGATGCCTTTTGCCATCCACCTGGCCCGGTGGAGCGCTCCGGGGCGAGAAAAACGGACGCCGCGCTTCGGAACTCCGCCGAGAGCAATTACGCAGAGCTCCAGAAGCTCCCGGTAGTCGTCCCGGGGCTGGGCGTGGTCTAGGAAGCGACGAAAGCTGACCAACAGCTCGTCCCGCTCCGGAACGTCATCGGCGGTGAATGGCTCCGGCGTAGTCCTGTCGATGAGCCTCCATCGGCCTTGGAACCTCTTGAACAGCTGGATGTCAGGGCCGCTCGAGATGCTAAGGCAAGTGGAGAAGGCCTTCTCCAGGATCAGTTCGTACACGTGGTGCCGGCAGGCTAGGTGGAGGACGGGCCGATCCAGCTTTTGCTCGATGAGGGTACAAGCCCCGTTCACTAGCCCGCTGTTCACCGCCGTGGTGTCGAAGCAGAGGCCGCGGACCCGCTTCTCAAGTCCCCAGTCCTCCAGCGCAGTGAACACGGCCTGGGCGCAGTCCTGTGCTCGGCCGGATGGGAGTTTGGGGACGGCGAGGAGCTTGGCCACTCCACCCCCCGACACCAGGACCGGGAGCCGGTCGACGCTCCCTCCTCCTCCATCGCTCTCGGGGACGATCTTTCCGTCCCAGTGGACGATGAGAACGACGTCGGGGTTGAACGCGGCCTTGATCTCTTTTGAAGCCTCCTCGCGGAACCTCATCCGAGCGCGCCTGAAAGATTCGCGGTTCAGTACCAGCTCGGCGGGGTCATGTCCAAAGTTCCGTGCTGCAGCTGACAACAGGTGAACCGCATTGCGGTTGGACAGCTTGGTCCGGTCGAGCGCGGCGCCCAGTTCACTGCTGAGGACGGTATTTCGCCTGCTCGCCCGCATGCGCTTCGGAGTATGTGCCGACGTTGAGGGCCTCTCATTGTTGCCATCGTCGGAGACGTTTCCTTCGAGTGTGCGCCGCAACGGTCGGGTAGGACTATTGCCAGCACTAGCAATGGAGTCGCCAGAACTGCCCGCGGAAGAACTGTCCGAAAGCACAACAGATCGGTCCAGCTCAAGGCGCACTTTCGCCTCCGCTTCCGTCCTTCGGCGATTCGTAGACTCTAACTTCTCATTGGCTTTCTTCTCTTTGACAGCAAGGGACATGTCTCTAGAACCGAGAGAACCGCGGGGCTCATCCTCTCTTTGGGCCAGCAGGAAGGACCGGTCTTCTTCCTCTGTGAGGAGTGTAAGCGCGTCTTGATGCGCGATGTCAAAGAGGCGACGCAGGGATACGACGAATGCATCCTCCCTCGCCACCTGAGTCGGCCCGCGCTTTGACTTGCTCTTCTTCAAGGAGACCCACTCATCGTAGAGTCGGATGAGTTTGTCGCACGCCCGGTGGGCTGCCTGGACCGGAATACGTGCTCGGGTCCAGAATGCGAGTACCTCATCGATCACCCTGGCTGCCGCGGGCTTCTTCTCGTGCTTTAGTTCCAAATGAAGGTGCAAGAAGAGACGGAGAACTTGTCCTCGCGTTGGGAGTCGGCTTCCCGTAAGTTCGTTCAGTGTACTACGAACAAGGTACACAGCTGTGTTTGACCTTGTCGTCGCAATCGTATCTCAACCCACGGTTGACGGTGGTTAGACGAAAAAAGGTCGACACTCGACAGCCACCAAGTGTAGCGTGCACACTGCAGTCACGTAGTTCACTGGTCGGGCACTGTCGGGGCCGCGGCACAGCCGCCCGGTCCACCGAGCCGGGTCATGTTCTGGGGGCGAAGGGCAGCTGCCGGCGGCCAGTCTCTGGATGCGCGCAGGGGCGGTCACGCGCGTGCATTGAGGTGAGGCCCGGGTGTGACCGTCACAATACGCTGAAAATGCAATTTAAGGATGGAAAATGTTGCTCGGAATATGTTTCAAGTAAATTTGCAGAAGTTCATTTTAAAAAAAATGTCAACTTTGACCTCAATTCGCGACCTCTAAACCTTAATATTTTTCAAAATCCTTCCGCACATATTATTTTCTACGGGAATGGAACCAGAAAACCACCCGCACGCCTAAAAATCTGATAATTTTTTTTTCCACCCTATTGTTAAGTGCCACCCTAACGCACACACATTCGATAGCTTATGAGAATAACATGCCTTGTCTGTTTAATGCAGGAAAATATTTTTCACTTTTTTAGAAACAGCAAAACCGTTGTCAACATGCCATGTCAACTATCTAAACAATTTTTATGGAAACTGCTCTAGCTAGCTTAAAGTTCCACAACGTTTCCGGAGCACTGCACCCAAACTCAGTTCATGTTGCAAGAAAAAACAGTAATAATGCCTCCTAATTTTGAATGAAATATAGGCATGGATGATATAACACTGGATTGGTGTCTCGTGGAAATTAACATTGGGATCCGCGACATTGGGATCAGGCCTGCCATCTAGCGAGAGAATTATCGTAAGTTAGGAGCAAGCCGAGTGAACGCTATCTCTCAGCATTATGACACACGTGGGTGTGGTGTGTTGGTTGGCTCGAAGTGCATATTCCCACGAGTTGGAGGTAATCTAACTGGACCTGAGACGACAAAAAATGTCTTAAATGCTTGAAAGCCAAAAACGTCAAGCAGCCTTTAGGTAATAACGAAAATAAAATGCGTAAGACGGTGTGCATTGAAACGCCCAGTCCCATTGGCTTGTACGAGCTTTTATATGGCCATTTACTCACAATGGTACAGCAGTTTGACAATATGTCATACATATTTGGTAGGCTTATTCCTTCTTCTCCGAATTTCGCCCGATTTTCTTCATCTTAGTTAATGTTACGGCACGTGCCACGTGCCAACTTAGGGGTGTCGAAATTGTTCCACATGAAGTATAACTCCGCAATGGCTGGGCCGATTACAGTAAAATTTCGTCAATAGTTAGACACCCAGGGCCAGTGGCCAATGCATTTCCATGTGTCACTATGGGGGTGCTACTGCACGTGCGCACGTGCGGGCTGCCGCTTCCATATCTCAAGAAGGGCTGGGCGGATAACACTCAAACTTGGTACACAAATGTCACATCGATGCTCGCACTGCATTGATCAGTGCTTACATTGGAGTCGTTAGGAAAACGATGAAATGAGATGCGTGGTGTTTATGCCTTTCTGTTCCAGCAGCTGATTGATCCGCAACAGGAGATCCTTGTTTGTGAAGGTTTCGTCTCCCTTTTCCACTCCTTGTTTAAAATAACATTAACAATGTACGAAGAAGATCACACATCAAAGTTGTTTTAGGCGGCTATCTTGGGCCAGGACTGCGGAGTTGTAGTCAGAGCCAGCGGTTCTGTTCCGACTCGGAATCGGTTGACTTTTAAAAGCTGTAGTCGGAGTATGAGTCGAACGTCACCGAAAAGTCATCGACTCCACAGACTTACCAGGGCTGCAGAGTCGGAGTCTGTGCGAATCGACAGTTCTGCCCGAAGGAGTCGGAGTCGATATTTGGATACCGGAATCGGAGTTTGAGCCAAAGTCACTGAAATTTCATCGACTACGCAGCACTGGTTGGGTCCTTTTCATAGAGCGTCTTGAATGGCATATTGAGCGGCAATGACGTTAGCAATTCCGTTTAACTTTTTCATTAGACTTATAGATAGTACTTACGTTCGTTTTGTTCTTTGATCGGACAATTTGTTTGATTTAGGCCAAGTAAAGACTCATGTGAAAAATAGCGAAAACGACACGTGCTGGCGAAGTCTCCAATAGCTCCCTGTTTCACGATTTAATGAGGAAATAACATGGAACTGCTTATCTTATTACTGACCCTGCACATAAATCTATTAATTTCTTCGCTTTTTCTGACAAATAAAGGCATAACCTTTTGAAAAATTGCACAACAAGCCTGCTACTACACCACACTCCCGTGTGTCACAATGCTAATCAGCGGCGTTCACTCGGCTTGCTCCTAACTTACGACAATTCTCCCGCTAGATGGCAGGCCTGAGCTCAATGTCGCCAAAAACAGCGAAGACACCAATCCATTATTATCTCATCCATGATATAGGTATGAGTAATTTGATTTGGAAATTGGAAAGCAACAAATTTCCGCACATCATTTTAGCAAAATTACTATTTTCTTCAGCCACCAGGTTTTGCACAAAACTATAGTAAACTTTATGATCTAGTTTACACCAAACCAAAGCCCCTTTTAACAAATGTTGAATAAATTTTAATAATTTTAAAAAATGTATCGTGGAAAAAATGAAAAGTGTAGATTTGTAAAGCCGGGATATTTCACGGATTAGGCACTTAAAGAAATATCTTCACCTTTCTTTGAGCCACCAGCCTTCACCAAGTTTTACACGAATGTAGTGAACCAGACAATGTGGCAACTCAAAATTGTGATGGTTTCAGATAATTATAACGGTAAAAGAAAAAGCAACACAAGGTTCCTTACCCTCGCTTTTTTCACTAGTCCAGATGAGGCTTCAACTGTTGCCGACCTGAGGAGCTATAGGGACTTGAGCTTTCCAAAACTCAATTTCTAAGGGCACTGAGCAGTGTTTGGGTTTCACACGTATGCGATCGTAAGTTATATTAAGTTGACAAAGCAAGCAAAGCAAAGCATGATGCCCCGCGCGTCCACCCGCGACCACGTCCCGCGTCCGACTCCCGACCGCCGCGTGACCCGAGGCTCCCGGCGGTCACGTGACCTACCGGCCGGGACTGCAAACGGCCTTCAACACCATTCTTGTATGACGTCATATCCTACTGAGGTGCTGATTGGTTATTTCCACCGTAGTTATTTTTGTTTCATTGTTTTGCGTGTTTTTCTTATGTGAAATGTAATTAAAAAATTTGCCATATTTTAATCACCATTAAAACATAACTCAATAGGCATAAAAGAAAGCTCGATATATACTTTCCTTGTTTTTAAGAATTCCGGAATTAGATACCCGAGGGAGTAAAGTTGCCACGCTGATTTGATACCTCATAGTCGAAAGGTGGGCTACTAGAACCAAAAATTGCTGTGTTTGTAAATAAATAAGTGATTTGAGGGCAAAAAATGCCCGGATTTAAACTTCTAAAATTATTTTGAACATAAAATATTTCAGTTTGAGGGATGTTAAGGCCTCAAAGGGTAGGTACTTTTTAGGTATTAAATAAGTTCCTCTGCGAAAGTTCCGTCGTGAAAACGGCCATTTTGTATTATTTTTTATGAAAATGTTGACTTCTCGACAATCAGTGGGACGAATCCGGAGAGTTTTCAGGTTTCGGTGATGTTATAAATAGGCACCTTGGAACTTGGGAAAATTTTCATCCCACCCTGAGCATGTCGTGCCTGAGCCTACCAGCATGCGGGTGTACGTAGTGCTCATAAAAGCGTGGCGGCGCCGCTGATGACCACATACCTAAAGAACTTTGAAATTGCTTGTTAACTGTAGATTTTGTGAGCGTTTCAAGATGTCATGTTTTTTGCTAATTTTTGCTCAAACATGACCTCGGTTTTTAGCTCAATAACTCCTGACCTAAGGTGGCCTGTGACTTGAAATTTTGTGTGAAGGTGTCAAATTGATGCCCGGGAAGGTACTGAAAATTTGGCGGCGCTGCGCGTTGCCATTTTCTCGCTATTCAAGAAAAACCACAGGGAGGGGGCAAAAGGGCCCCACCAGGGCGCGGGTTATTATCAATAATATCGATATTATTACGAGCGAGCGAGCGCAGCGAGCGAAGCGAAGTCTTTTCAATATAACGGAAAAATCTCAGTATGAGCGGCCCGGCCCGGCCCAGCCCAGCCCGGCCTGTAACGCTTTTGAGAGGCTTATATCTCAGCAACCGCTGGACCGATTAGCCTGCGGTCTTTTTTGCTGGGTAGCCCCATCCCTTCTACCCCGTAATTGACTACTTTTGATACATCTCAGTGACCGACGTGGCACGTGCCACGTGAAAAGTCAAGGGTGTTCAAGCTGTTTTGCAAAACTAGTGATTTTGAGAGGCTCATATCTTAGCAGTCGCTTGGGCGATTGTCTTGCGGTAATTTTTGTAGGGTAGCTGCATCCCTTCTACCAAAGGTCGGATACTCTTGATCTGTGTGAGTGACCCCCACTGCACGTGCAAAATAGATGCTCTCTGATAATATTACAAAGCAGACATATATATAAGCAATTAGCACAACCCTAGCTGATAGCTACTAAGAGACACACTGGACCTAATTTGACCAAATCTGCACCTAATCTGCACCAGATGTGAACCAAATGTGTACCAGATGGCCGTCGTGAAAGCGGCTATTTCCACCTAGTCTTCATTTCAACAAATATCTTTTATCATTGATTTATTACGTCCCGGCTGATATTGCTGTCATCTCGTAAAGTTTTCGAGAAACTCGACTTGCCTGGACTATCCCATGCCGTCCGAAACATGCCCACTTTACCCTTACGCATGCGACCCCTTACTACCCTTACATGCTTGAATCTGCAATTCATACTTATAATGTGTATCGCACCCAGCTCATGCCTGTCGTTAGTTAGCATGAATGCAAACAAAACGAGCACACCTTGACATTTCGAATGGGCGCTTGAAAGGCCATGCACATATCAACAATCGTCACTTTGAGCTGGACCATATGGCCAGCAGAGGTGGCCTTAAACCTTGCAAAAGTCCATTCCCTGGCAGAGGCATTGACGCCACCATTGTGGTCTGACCATGCAGCTCACGCCGCTACTATGCCTGTGCGCCGCGGGTGTGACCCTGCTGGAGAGGACGGCGTCCGCTGCTCCGGACTCAGCCGCCAGTCAGCCCGCAGCTGCCCACATCGTCAGGGACGTCTCGGAGGCGTGTGCCGAGGCTGCGCGCGGTGAGATTGAGCGGCAGCTGATCGCAGCGCGAAACCAGAGCCTGGCAGACACGAGCTCAGCGCAGCAGCAGACCGTGCAGGAGACCCTCGCTGCTCTCCAGAGAATCCTGCAGGAGATCTGGAGCAGCCGGTGCTGCGCGCAGGAGTCGCCTGCCGCCGCCAGGACTAGAGGTGGAAATGAATATTAGTCATTAGTCAAAAATTAGTCGACTAACGTTAGTCAAGCGCTTTTTTAGTCAGTCAAAAGTCAGTCAACCAAAATGTTTGTTAGTCATTAGTCAGTCATTAGTCAATGATTTTGGTGCATATTAGTCGACTAATTTGTCGTGTTTCGTGAGGTGACCTAACCCTCGCATGTGTAGGGGGGGGTCGGATGGACCCCCCCCATGGTTTTTCGCGAATAACTCGAGCAAAAAGCGGCCGATCGGGACAAAACTTTCAGTACCCTCGAGTTGATCAATTTTACACCTACTCTTAAACTTTCACGACCCCGACCCAAATGACCTTTGATCTGTGAACAGATTCTCGAGACCATGTTCGGCCGGAATCGCGATTTGGCGTATGTCAGCTCACATTATCCGCGCGTTTCCAGTCTTTTTGTGATTATAAACGTCCAAACATCTGAAATGATGTTCGTCCCACGCATTACGGTGGGTGTCAAGGTCACCTGAAGGTCAGGTCAGGTCATTGACCTTGGATGACCTCGGTTCACTTTTTCGAATTTTACATGTTTCTAGGGTAGTTTTCGGGCTGATTTCGAATTTGGCATCCATTTCAACATTTACGAAGTAGTTTTAGTGGCTTTGTAACATGTTACGACGCCGTCAGTGGTAGTTGACACCTACTATGGATAGCCGGCAGGACGCCTACTGGTCGACCTGACCTGACCTGACCCGACCTGGCCTAAATGCATGCAGACATCATCTGTGATCAAAACTAACATGAAGTTCGTGATCAGCACCCCGAAAAACCCCATAACAGCTTCACTTTACGACGAAACTCTAGCAGGTCCCGATTTTCCCGACGTTTGGGTCATTGACCTGACCTGGAAGGTCAACCAATGATCTAGGACCTTAAAATTGGGTATCATCGGCTTCCTCTCGTCACGGGCAGCACGCTCGTTTTTTTCCCGCGAAGCTCTAGCTTGATCAGGGGCCGAACAGCAGAGGGGGGGGGGGGGTTCAGTCGACCCCCCCCCCCTACACATTAGACGCTGGCAAACGCCGCACACATGCGAGTGTTAACCCGCGCCCCACTGGGGTCGCCGGCCGAACGCGCTCGGCTGGAGGGGGTAAATTTTACCCCCTCCCCCTGTTATCTCCCGAACCAGGCGTCGTAGTGGCCGACAAGATATCTTGCGCTCGCTTCGCATCGCGGTGGCCATGAAATAATAAGGGATAAAACTTGGGATCGATTGGTGTTCTTCCAGTGTCGATCAGACGTCTAGAAGTTTAGATATTCGCGAAAAAAAAATTTGCTTTGCTTGTAAATTCCGAAATTTAGTCAAATATTAGTCAAAATCGAGAAAAATGGCGTTAGTCATTCATTAGTCAGTCAAGCTTTTTGAGACGACAGATTAGTCAGTCAAAAGTCAGTCAACCAAAATCGTCATTAGTCATTAGTCAGTCATTAGTCAAGATTTTGGAAAACGTTAGTCATTTCCACCTTTAGCCAGGACGCCGGAAGACGGCGAGTGTCCGTTCGGCTGGAGTCGTCATCAGAACAGGTGCTACTTCGTCACCCTGCAGAAGACCACCTGGTACCTGGCGCACCGCTCTTGCGCCAGTCTGCAGCGGCGGGCCCGGCTGGCGTCGGTGCACCTCGAGTCCAGTGAGTTCATCGACGCTCTGCTTCAGGACGCGCCTGACGTGTGGGTGGGCCTGGTTCGTCTGAACGATGACGGGGAGTTCGTGTGGAGCGACAACTCAGCCCTGGACTACACCAACTGGTTAGAGGATCAGCCCAACAACTACGACGGAGAACAGGACTGTGTCCTTCTGGAAGGGAGCGGGCATAAGTGGAATGATAGGAAGTGTGATTTGCAGCAGTATGCCTTGTGCCAGCTTGATTAATTTTAAATTTTAAGTACTTATTTGCAGTAAATCTATGCATCGCAAAAAATTACGAAATGTGCACTGTGCACATTGATAGGTCAGTTGAACGGTTTTTGGCATTAGTCAGTACCTACTTCATTGCTGCGGTGACTTTGCAGCGCCTTTGCCCTTTGTCCTCGAAGCAAAGCGATGATCGCCTATCTTCGTCTTATAACCTACGGACAGAGTAGGTCACTCATATACACACAAGACAGGCTCGTGAGCGTGCCCCCATTGTCGAGCTCGAGACTCCAGAAAACGAGTCCCACCGGTTCAGAGCTAACGTGCTCCGATTGAGGTACCGAGAGACTTGCTCAACCGACCCGGAAATTAGCGGGCAAACCCGCGACAAAGAATTAAAACCGGTAATGTCACTGGACAAGAGATAGACGTGCGTGATAATGAGTACAAGACACGTGTGTTTACAGTTGGTTCCGGCAATGTGTTTTAGATCTGAAGTGGGCTGCCAAAATGGGCTGCCGAACTGGGCTCGGGCAACACGTGCGATCCGAAAGTCTATCGGGCCTCCTTGGTGGTCATGTAAGTACGGCAAGATATAGGTAGGATCGTGCAAGAGTTTAGTAATTACAAGAATTTACTACGGTAGTTAATTCTTGGTGGGCGCGGTAGGTACTCGGTCTGATGCAGTGTTTTGAGTCAACGACATTGGGCTCTCAAATTAAATACGCTTTTATCTCTAAATAAACTTGTTATGCTTATAGAATAAATAGGGTGTGCATTAGTTTGTTTTGCATTTCTTTTCCTTCTTCACGTCATTTTTAAGTGTGGAAGAATTATTGCATTATGCAAGGAACATAACTCAGCACATTTGTGGTTCAACACCACGATCATGTCAGTCGGTAACGCAATAACAAGCTTGGGTCGTAGCAGCATTGTATCAAAACTTGCTTACCTACATTGTATAGGTACCTAACACCACAGAACATATTCAATTATCCTTAGCCAAGTCAAAAATATTTGGACCAAGTAATATATCATAGGTAGGTTATAGATAGGTATAAGTATTTAATACCAATTCAGGGGAAGCCACTGGAACTATCTAGTGATTCAAGATGAATGTTTTTCCGGAGAGCGGGCGAAAGTCGACGGAAGTGCGCCACATCCGTCACCGCTCCGGTTAGGCCAGTCTGTTCAGCGTTAGGCTTGCGGCAGTGATCCGACCTATCCAAGTGAAAACAAGCCGCTGCGCTCGTATGCATGATGTGCAGCTAGCCGATAATTGAAAGCCTCTCGAACATTCAGCAGTTACATAAGCGGTGCCATAAAATCGCCGCAAATTGAGTTAAAGAAGTTAACTTCGGCAGTCTTTAGTATCATTTCTTTACTTATGATAGACTAATGCTTTGTGGGATAATGTGTGTTAAAAACGCAGCCCTCTCGAGTCACTTTTCTACATTTCATCGAGTTAAATAACGGAGTGCTTATGCTTTTAGTTTTTTGAGACATTAGGTAGGTACCTAAGATATTGAAATCCTTCAGCCGCGGTTTAATAAAACTCCTTATGTGAAGCATACAAGCGTGCCGCATCTTTTAAAATTGTAACCCGCTAATATTTTCATTTCACTGTTAAAGGGACTATCCCACCTTTAACATGGGGTTTGAGTTGAGATAGCCAAGTTTGCGGCGAGGTTCAGAAACCACTATCTATCTAGGTTGCAACCCCCGCGGCCTCTTGGTGTTGAAGAAACCCGTTCCCTTCATTTGAAAATAGGCCTTGCGCAAGGCCCTATCTTCAACATGGAGCGACCGTTAGTGTGACGTCACCTCGTTTAGTCATTATTATTTAAATGGGTTTGTTTGTTGAAAAATCGCTTAAAACTTGGTCTGAACTTTGTTGTGGTGCCTACAGAGTAAAAAGAATCAGTTTTATGACAGTAATGTGGCCTGGGGAAGGAGGTAATTTTGGGCTGTGACGTCACATGTTTGAAAGTTTGTGTTTGGAATATGGGAAGCCTAAGATGTTTAATGAAAAATAAATGCCAGAACCGTGTTCCTGGTCATCCAATCTGTAAAGTCGGGCACAATTTATCTGGTTTTAACAACATTTTAGAAGGTGGGATAGTTCCTTTAACAACTCAATTCTCAATATGCAATAAAACGGTAGGGCTCGCGATAATGCTGTGGTCATCGAAGTGCGCTATATGCAAGCTCTTGTGTCATCTCAAACAAGATATTCGCACAAGTGCCACGATTGACGTTTTTTCAGCCATTTATTCATTAAACATCATTCATCGATCCACCGACAGATCACCATCATTAATGTTTTGTTTGGCTATGAGATACCATGCATGGTCACATTTGTACAGCCTTTCTATCCAATAAATTTTCATGGTTTTTATAAACCCAAATAGGAATGTCATATTCAGCCCGTCAAACTCTTGCGATTGGCGTTGTGCGACATCCAAGGTCGCAACAGCAAAAATGCTTACTTGCTTGCTTAAACAGTAGGCAGGTACCCGTGCGCGGTCGCCTAGGGGAACTTATTCGGCAGCATCTGACTCACGTTCCTCTCGCCCAAAGTCGCTGTTAATCCACTGTTGATTCTCCAGTTCTTTCCGAAAATCTCCGCACACCTCAGCCGCAGCGCGATGACCAATCGGCCGCAGAACTGGAATGGTCACGTGACAGGCAGGTTCCGGTCACGTGACCGTCAGCGGGTGACCTGACCGGCCGGTGTCGTCGACCTCTGTCACCGATGAGCGCCGCGCCGGCTCTGGCCGGTGATTCAGCCGCCCGGCACCGCCACTCGTGTATCGAGTCCGGCCGTCCAGCAACTGTCCGCTCAGAGTCGGGACCGAGCTGACTGGGAAGACCGGAACACGAGTGCCCCCGGCGCTCAGGACTTGCTCTGCTGGTTCGGTGGCAGTCGCGTAGCCCAGGATGTGTCAGGGATTGAGCGTTGACATGACACTCCCGTGAAGTGTGATCGCATTATGTCAGGATATCTATCGCATCAGATATATTTAGAATGAAGCTAACTGCTAACACATGTTTTAGACCAGATGGCCGGGTCACTGGCCAAAAATATGACAGTCATGGTGACAGGGCCTGGATCCGACTGGTCATTTTTAGTAAATTGACCAACTGTCTTATGATAATGGCTGTCAGCAAGACATCATGACACCATAAACACACCCCATACAACTCAGGACAAGCGTGTTTCATATGGACTTCATGGGTTACTCCCTGGAAGTTCGGAATTGCTCTACTTCATGGAGACGATCCAAACCAGAGCACTACGGTAAATCAACAATCAATGGGACGGTGGGATCCAGAACGTACAAACGAGAGCTTTGATGTCTATCAATATAGGTAACGCTCTTTCATTCGTCAATCGTCACTCAAAAACTTCAGTTCTCATCCACACTGTACCGTTTCAGTACATCATTTCGACTTAACTTTCCACCCTCTTCACATTCCAGCCTAAATTCTTAGGGCCAATATCCATCATAACATGATGCGCACTTCTAGCAGTTTCTTCAGCCCACGAACACATCCAGGAATCCGCGCCATTTTCACTCCTCCGAAAAACACCCGACCCCTCTCTCCCCGCGCCCTCCCCGCCCACCGTCTCGATGATTCGGTGACGCCCTCCCGTCCCATCCCGTCCCGTGCCGTGGCGGTCGGGTAGGTCTCACCTGTCCGTACCCGGTGGTGAGGAGGTCGCTCCGTGCGCCAGCCGCCGCCAGTCATCCACCAGACGCCGAGCCGACATGAGGTGCCTACTGCCGCTGATCGTTCTTCTGGGCGCCGTCCAGGCAGGTTAGTGCTCACTTGCGGTGATTTTAAATACAATTAGGATTTAGATGCACTGTATTTGTAATTTGATATTTACTATAGGTACTCACAAATTAATTATAAATGCCATGCTAAAGCAACTTTAACATACACCATCTTTTTGATAACGCTTTCGAGAGCTCTGATTTTTTTTTACAAATAAAGTTTTGTAGTGAAAAAGTTCTATTTTTTATTCTTTAGCCAATGATTACCTACCTATCCATTATCTTTACAAATTTGTGAAAATTAAAAGCTTGCGAAACTTTTAAAATACGCTGGCGACGGTACCTGCGTAACGCTTATCTTTTGCATTGAGCATCATAAAACGTAGCGCTCAATAGAACATGGAGCAAAGCAGTTTGTTCGACGACTTAGTTTCTTTCTTATCCTTTTTATATCGTCATTTGCATACGTAGTCGAACTTTGGTGAAGCAAGCCGTATTTTCCTACACATTTCAAACACGTAACATCCCGGAAATGTAGTATTATGATATATGCCTGGCATATACGTCATCAAGATATGGTTACCATCGGCACCTTTATGTTGGTATGTGTTGGTATGTTGGTATAGGATAGGCTGACGTCAGTTCACCTCACAGTACTAGTCATGGATGGTACAGTGGAAAAACTCGCCGGCTGCCGGCTTCTTCATTCGCCCGGTCCGTGAGTGAAAACATTGGTGAAAGCGGCTCCTGGATGAAGCCCTGGTCACCGCGGCGGCCAGTCTGCCTGGCAGCCGCACATATTGGGGGCAGCTGGATCAAGTTCTTATGCATAGAGCGCAGTCGAGTCGAACATGGCGGCTATCCAAAAGACGAAAGCAAAAAACCGCCGCTGGCCATCGTGATGTATGCTGATGAGGGTTCCCAGTAAAACCTATCCACTTCAGGCTCGGACGAAAGCTCTAAAAGCCGTTTAAAAGAGTTCGAAGCTTATTTCTTTCTAAACTTTTTTTTCGTGCAATGAAAAAACTGTTTATAACAAGTATTGATTTTGTATTCATAGGTTTTCCCATACTTTAAAAAATAAATCGCATTCAAAGTAATGCGTAGGGAGGCTTATAGCCTTCAATCCTCATCATGTCCTTCCAAGCTATGATGGATGCCTTCGGTGAGCTGCATACTTAGCGATCGAACGACAGATATCAGCAATAACCTTCGACGCTGCTTGATAGCGGATAGATAACGAGTATGGAACACTGGAGCCATGGAAAAAACGGGTGCCTATTTCATCGCTGAATTATTCATCGCTGGTCTTTGAAACCGCTCGTCAGCGTACTGGTATATCCAGATGAATTTGGCCTGGCCTGCTTTCTAAACCAGTTCCACGCAGGCGAAACAGAAGAGGTGACTGACTTTTGTACCTAACATACTGTAGCAGTTCCGGTTGCATTTGCTAATCTGCTGCAGAAAAGATGGAACTGAAGTAAGAGTATGGACTGTTCATTTGGATTGTCTGAGTGTAGACACAATAGCAAGATGTCTAAAATTCAAAGTTAAAGTTTTGAACAGAAGTTAATTACGGCACAGTTCTGCTAGCGTAAAAGAGTCAATCATGCAAGGCAGACACTTCAGGACGGTTAGATATCTGCAGATATAGCAGCTTCCGCATACAAAAACGCATTCAAACGGAAAAATCACAGCACTCACACAATATTCACATGTGCGCTCCCTGGGCTATCTAACCGCTGCAACCCTCTGCATTTCAGTGCCGTTCTTCAAGTTCCGTTTCGGTCCGGAACACCGCAGTGATGAGCTGGGTCCCAAGCTGCCGCCGGAGCCGTTCCCGCAGCGCGTGCCGGACGAGTCGGCGGCCGTGTTCGCCCTCCAGCTGCCAAAGCTCGACCTCTCCGACCTCTTCAGGCCGCTGCGGGTGTTCGCAGGTGAGTGACCGAGACGGTGCTGGATTAGTTGTCAGGAGTCGAGGTGGCCGATGCAGCGCAGAAAAGAGTTATCTGGTGACTATCATGCAGCTCTCATCGGGGTTGGACGGCAAATAGAGAACAGCATGGTGGTGGAAAGAGCCAGAGCGAGTGTAATCAAATACAGCGAGGGGCAGTCTAATTACGGATTCGTATTAGCTGTTGAACAGCTTCGAGAGCGGGCATCACAATCACTCGCCTCACTAAACCTCCATTGGCGCGGTGGATACAAACGAAGTTGTCATCTCGTTAGTCGTACAACATCGTTCAGTCATCTAGAGAGTTTCTTCACCAGGAGTATACCTACGCCTGCTGGTACTCAGCAACTAACAAAAACATAGAAGTCGGCATTCATTATCTCCATAAACTCTGAGAACAGGCCCGGTGTTTTCTCTCTGAAGCCGAATTTCTGTCAAGCAGACTACCATTTCTTGTAGACGATGACTGTGAATGTGTACCGTATCGCGGGTGCGTGACTAAGCTCCAATTACCTGCCGTCTGGCCGAGTTGAACGACCCAGCTCTGGGGCCGGTCTCTATTTGAGCTGGATGGGCCGCGGACCGTCGCGGGGAGCGCCAGTCAGCTGACCTGGAAGGAGGACGAGGTGCCGGTGTGTGCCGCGACCGGCAGTTCGCCGAACCGCCGCTGTGTGCCCAGCCGGTCACGATTGGAGCTATCGGTGTTTGAAGAAAGGACTGGGAATTAAGGTCAGCTACCGGGTGTAGCGTGGAAAAATTTAGTGGCTCGACTGATGCAAGAGCTGAGCATTTTTGTCAATTAATCGATGCAAGACTTCAGAAGGGATATACAGCTGATAACTATGTCGTCACCCGCTGTTGATGCAGTGCACTGGTAACAGCAGCATCCAACTAACACAAGCCATCCTCTAGATGTTTATAAATGAAATACCAGCCCCTCAATTTGGCCAACCCAGTGGAGTGCCTATCCGTGCATCTCCCCATTTCAGCACCTCTCCGTGACCCAGTTCCTGAAATCAGTCCATTGCACGCCACACCACGCTCGCTCATGTCAGATCCACACCACTTTACCACGCCATACCACGCTCCCTTCAGCTCGGTGCCTCAGCGGCTGCCCTTTACCTCTCATGACTATTACATAAGCCGCCCAAACCGGCACCCGTGTTTGGACGATCCAGAGACCTGGTGCTACAGATGCTCTGCCGATAAACACGCAGTAGCTTTTGGTAATCCTCTCCTTCCCTGAAAACAACCTTCAGAGGAGATTAAAAACATCGGCTAAGAGGATTGGGAGGCCATCACTGAGCTGTAATGATTGGTCAGAGGTGCGTTTTAGACGAAAAATTTGCAATCTGTGGGTAATGGAGGAGCGGCGTGTGAGGTACCCGAAGAGCAAGGAGCTTAGAAATCTGTTCAGTTTTGCGTTGCTTCGTGTCAGCGGTGGAAAAGAAATAATTTGACCATGACTATTCAAGACAGAAGACGCAAAGGTACAAATATCCCCATATTGAGGGTTTCAGCTAAGAATAAATTCAAGTTTTTTTTTTCAACACAGGATTTGCTAGAGCTGTGTGCAATGTCAGTAAAAGATTAATAATAAAAAAAATCGAAGTAGCAAGTCCGTTCACCATCGTTCTCTTCCCCCTCTTCTTTGGACAGGTGTGAACGTGGACCATCCGTCTGGTATCGCCGTGCGGGAGGAGGAGCCCAACTGCGACCTGGGCAAGTTCGACCTCGCCGACGACGAGTTCGACATCGTCATGGACTGTCAGAAGGCCTCCGGCGGCGACGACGTGGAGCTCAAAGAGGTGAGTGATCGCCAGAGGACTGAGAGGGTTCCTGGTCGAACACGTCTGTCGTTGGCCATTTGGAATGCCACTTGGAAAGCTGACAGGCGCAGGGAGCTTCGCGGCTGGGCCTGTGTAGATTACGGAGACCACGGCATACAAGTTAATTGTAAATTATTTACAAAAAGATCAAGGAACAGCGAGAGACAAGTGGCGTAAAAGACCTGCGAACCATTTCTATCGCGTGTCTCGCATGCAGGAAGTAAGGCACCATAGCGCTTCCCATAGCCCATGTTTGGTAACATATCCGATTCCGAGCAGTCACGTCCTAACGCGGAGCCCACTAAACACTAAACAGTAACAGGTGTGGCCGGTTATTTGGCCATTGTGACAGATGCGGTAACAACTGTAGCAATTGTTGTTACTTGTTTACCTGTTATCAATGACTTTCAAAGAATGGTTCATTGTTTATACCGATGTTACCTGAATGCTGGTATCGGAGCAGGCGGCATCGGCCCTCTTGAACTCTCAAACCATGTCAAACATGTGAAAACTGCTGGTCTTTCCAGACTTGTATTTACCCAAAATATGCCGACTACTTTATGACATGCCATGACATCCGAAATAAGAATAAGCTGTCATGCAGCGTACAGCAATGAGCAATGTAAGGTTTCCTCGCGATTAAGGAATAGGCAAAGCCTCACAAGACAGTCATGGAATCCTGCGAAAAAATATGGGGTCCTGTTCAAATGCTGTTCAAATATTCAGTTCCGTCTCTAAGCCCTCCGTATCAAAACGCACAGAGCCAATGAACATTTTGACTGTCGGTCCTTCGCAGTCGGACTAACCGAAAAAGCTACTCCGACATGTTATTTTGCCATTTATGGCGGACGCCGAGTAGAGAATGAGATGCTCCAAAACACCTAGTCCTCTCCTTATTAGGACCATCAATCATCAGCCAACCAGGCAAAACTGCAGTATCATCCTGATGACTCAATGACCTCTGATGACCTCTGCTGCGAGTCCTGTGACGCTCTCCCGCAGGTCCCGCGAGGTAGCAGAGGAGGGAGTTACCCAAGGTCTCCCTCGATTCGGTAATCGGTGCTTACATAAGGAGTAGGCTCATCTTGGAGGCGGTGCAGCACGCCCGCTCATCTATAATGTATGAAATCTGACCTTGGAGAGCGTAATAGGACACCGCAGGGGAGCTAGCACCCGGGTTTGCATGGACAGGTGGCTTACAAAGACGACGGATCCCGCTCAACCGCTGGATACTGCGGCGATTAATTTTTCCTCAGCCTGCTTGGCATAACATGCTTGTCAGCAAAGCATTTCTCAAGCCAGCATAAATATTATGAGCACTTCAGTTTACATCTGAGCTCAAAAACCGATTCCCTAGTTTACCTTCTATGATTTCATCTGAGTCGTATGTAGGTATAAGCCTGTGGATTTCTGTTCAGTCAACACGGATGACAAGGCGTCTATGCCATATAACTCCACCGGTGTGTACAGAGGGAGAGCGGCACAGCCTGGTACCGGCTCTGGAAACAGTCTGCTGACCTTAGTCTGACATTGACTCTCCGGCGGCGGTCACCTGGGTGACGTCACTATAAGTGGTGGTGAGTCATCCGTGACGTCTCACACTCTCAGCTGATTTAGGACCGGTTGTGCTCATCACCAGGTGGTTAAGGTAGCTGTGACTGGAGCCTTGGAGTCCAGAGCCCGGGCCCAGGAGAGTCAGTGAAGGCCGGAGATTTGAGGAAACTTGGAAGTGTGATGAATATCAAGCATGAAAAAGCAGCCGACCTTTGTTTAAAAGTGCATGCTTGTCAAACAGTCCATTTTAGTACAGCTGAAACAATGAAAGCTATTACAGAGACCAGTGTACTCAGGTAACATTGCAAGTGTATGATTTCGCTGCTTCGTCAAACAACAACCACAATGTGCTTTATAACAAAGACAAATCGTAGCCGACATGTAGGAAACGTTTATCATTTCCAGCGAAATGAAGACAATGCTGAACATCCTGGACCGTTCAGCCAGGATCATACGTAGCGCCGTTAGTTATGGATCGTCCTGTCACCAAATGTCGACATGCACTCGTCTTCTGAAAAATATGATGCCGCATGTATCATATAATCATGACAGAACTTCTGTCATTGTTGAGTGCAATCACATTTGCCGATACTAGCCAGGGTTTCCTGCACAGAAGGAGTCTTTTACAGAAGCTACGAGCCCTTTAAATTCTGCCGTGTTCCACCATGATAAAACACCGCACCGCGTTGGCCCGTCCGGCAGTGCACCAGTCACGCGACCAAAAACCAGGCGCCGCCGTACTCTCACCAATCTATGGGAGCCGGCTGGCACGGCGAAAAAGCAGATGGTTCAGTTTTTCTATGCAAGTCATTCTTAGGAGCGCGCTGCTGTCTCCTGTCAGTGAAAGGAGACCGTCTCTTGTCTGCCGCCCGCTGTCCAGTGTCCACTGCCAAACCCTTCGTCGCGGCAGCCGCCGTCTATCCGCGGCGAAGCCTCCAGGCTCCACCTACCCGGCCGGCGAAGGGTTGACGAGAATGCCAGTGTCCATGAGTTGGCCTGCCGCCGTCTCGGAGCCATGGAAGGGTTCGGCGTCCGATCGCACCGGGCCGACCGACCTAACAGATCCCGTTACCTTATGACGTCACAGTGACGTCATCGATGGCCCGAGGCAGGCGTGTCCGATGAACCGGGTACTCTTACCGATATGGTGGGCACTGGGCACCCGTTCGTGTTTGGACTCCGTGCTGTAGAATGGAGGTCTCGAGTTCAGTTGCAGGGCACGATCTTTTACCGCATGACCCTCATCAGCTCGCTGATGAGGGTCAATGGGGCTTGTGTGATGGTTTTGGAACATTCCGGCTCCTTTGCGAGATGGATGGCAGTTTTTTCATGGCTCAGCCGTTAAGTTCGTGACCGGGGTTTGGACAATGGGTATCATAAACAGGCATGCTATGTTACTTTGCATTAGTTTGCAGTGTTTGTTTGTCTCTGCCGTTTTAGCAACAACGCTTGCCGCTTACCAATCCACGCAAAACATGTTGAGTGACATGCATTGCATTACTATCAGCACATTAACAAGCATAATTTTCCCATAGTGACACGAAAGCTGTCAAATGAACTGCAAAGCAGGCCCATATAAGACGGACAAGCAGCCAGCGACCTTGTTCATGCCACTAACCGATCACGTTTCTTTGTTTCAGTGCATCCTGACCAAGCTGCCCAAGACCGCTGTTGAGCTGAGGGACTTCCTTGACAGGGAAGAGGTAAGAACACTGCAGATGCTGCTGCTCGACTTACTTAGTTTCATCACACAGCTCAGGATTGGAGTCTATTTACAGAAATGCTTGCACTTTGCAGTAGAAAATCAAAAGAGTGCATTTGGATGGCGAGGCTAAAGATGTATCGCTGGTTCTCCCACACATTTAGTACGTTTTTTACTGAGCAGAACTAACGCCAGGTCAGTGACAGAGAGCGGACCCGGGAACCCGACTCGGTCACGGTCACGGAACTGACTCGGACCGCGCGGTCGATAGTCCCGTCACGGACCGTTCGGCACCGTCACCTCACGGTCACACGTGTGTGTTTTACCACAGTTCACGGTCACATCGGTCAGTTACCATGGAAGACTGTGGTCAGTGACCAGCCAGTCTTCCCACGAACGGAGGCGCCGATTTCAAAGATCCACCAGAGGTCTTTCTATGTTCCTGAAATATTTTTCTTCGAATCTTTCTTACCTTACTCGTAGTTGGTTCCAAGTGCCACGAGAAGGACATCGACGAAGTCCCAATAATAGGTATTTTATTTCTTACATCATCAACTGAGACAAGCACAATACTGAAACACAGAAAATGAAAGGCAGCGGTTTCAAAGTGACGGCTTCGATTCATATTTCCATTCGAAGCTCACAAGTTTCTGAACTTTGGCATCGCTGAGCGGCTTCGGTACCTATCCAAGATTACGTGGCAACACTTCCGCACGGATATGACGTGTTGACATAAGGCCAACACGCGAGGCAGTGGCGGATCCAAGGGGGGGTCACATGGGTCATGACCCCCTCCTTGGGGCTCGGGGGCACCACAGGCCCGCCAGGGGCACCACAGGCCTAGCAGGGGCACCACGGACCTGTCAGGGGCACCACAGACCTGTCAGGAGCACCATCGGCCTAGCAAAAGCACCACAGGTCTGCCAGGGCCACCACAGACCTGCCAGGGGCACCAGAGGCCTGCCAGGGGCACCGCCGGCCTCGCAGGGGCACCTTGGGCCTGTGGGGGCACTTCAGGCTTGTCAGGGGCACCACAGTCCTGTCAGGGCCCAGGGGCAGCAGTGGCTTAGCAGGGGCACCACAGGCCCGCCAGGGGCACCACAGGCCTGTCAGGGGCACCAAAGGCCTAGCAAGGGCACCACGGGCCTGTCGGGGGCACCAAAGGCCTGGCAGGGACACGTCAGGCTTGTCAGGACCCAGGGGCACCACAGTCTTTCCAGGGGCACCACAGGCCTGTCAGGGACACCAGAGGCCTTGCAGGGGCACCACAGGCCTGGCAGGGGCACCACAGGCCTGCCAGGGGCACCACCGGCCTCGCAGGGGCACCTTGAGCCTGTCAGGGGCACCACAGGTCTGCCAGGGGCACCACAGGCCTAGCAAGGGCATCACGAGCCTGTCAGGGGCACCTCAGGCTTATCAGGGCCCAGGGGCACCACAGTCCTTCCAGAGGCACCACAAGCCTGTCAGGGGCACCAAAGACCTAACAGGGGCACCACAGGCCTGTCAGGGGCACCACCGGCCTCGCAGGGGCACCTTTGGCCCGTCAGGGGCACCACGTGCCTGTCGGGGACATTTCAGGCTTATCAGTGGCACCACAGTCCTGTCAGAGCCCAGGGGCACCGGCGGCCTATCACGGTAGGGTGACCGGTTTTGCAAGAAGTTTCGAAAAGTTTTGCTCCCCAGGTCTAATCTAACGTATTTGGGGGTGCTGATCACGAATCCGGCGGAAAAAATATAAAATTCGAATTTTTTTTTGACCGCCCCGGCTCTTTGAATATTTCCGGTTTTCTCAATTTTTGCATGTTTTTGAATAATATGATGAATGTAATGAAAAAATATGAACAATGTATCGCTAAATGCATGTACCAGTCGATTCGGCATACAGCGACGTCGAAATCGGCACGCCGCCTGCTTCACCGGCCTCGCAGGAAAGCATAAGGCTCGGAAGGTTTGCGTTAGTTACCCGATTCTCTCCATAGATGGCGCTGGCGTAGCCGCCCGCCGGCCGGTCGTTGCCGTGCCGTTTACAGCCCCGGCGGTCACTTGCGACCGTCGTGGTCGTTATGCTACGTCTATCAAAGCACGACAGAAATGTTCACTTCATTTTTATGTTACTTCAGACATATTTTAGACCTAATGTTGAATTGGATAAATGACTATCGTGAATTGGCGAAATAATGGAGTGCGCTCGGGAGCCATTTACAATAGCGAGGAACGTAGGTGGATTGATCTGAGTAACATATGACACTGCGTTCACTGTTGATATGAAGTTTATTCACACTATGTAGTCGGGTGACATGAGAACAAAGTGACATAACATACCTTGTGTACGACACATGGATGAAGCTAATGCTACTTTTTCATTTTGTTTCGGTAGGCCCGTTTGTTCAGAGCGTAGCCGTCCTGTCGGTCTGCGCCTGTTACAGCTGTGACTGATTCGGTGGTCAGCTTTACAGCCCTTTCGGTGGATTGGGTATGGCAGGGGACCCCCGTTTTAAGGAGAGTCTGTAGAAAGTCGCGCAACTCATCCTCGCTCATGTGTCGTACACAAGGGGGCTCAATGTCTCGGCCCTCGTCAACCGCTCGCTGCACGTTAACCAGTTCCATAGGTATAGTTGTTCGCTTGAACGTTAATTTCCGGCAGCCGGAAGTGCCGAATGGGCTGCTGCTGTGGCGGTGGGGGTGGCAGCTTTGGCGGCGGTCGTGGCGGCGGTGCCGGCGGCGGCGGTGGTGGTGGTGGTGGTGGTGGTGATGGCCGCCGCCGTTTCAGACGCCGCTGCTTCTGCTGTGGCGGCGGCGGCGGCGGCGGTGGTGGTGGTGGCGATGGCCGCCGCCTCTGTCGCCCCTGCTTCTGCTGTGGCGCGGGCATGGCATTAGGGCAGATGCAGTCCGCATAATCCAGAGCATTCGTCAAAAAAGGCAGCGACAGGAGCAGCCGCCGTTCCCGCCCCCGCCACAGCAGAAGCAGCGGCGACAGAGGCGGCGGCCATCGCCACCACCACCACCGCCACCGCCGCCGCCGCCGACGCCACAACAGCAGCAGCGGCGTCTGAAACGGCGGCGGCCATCACCACCACCACCACCACCACCGCCGCCGGCACCGCCGCCACGACCGCCGCCAAAGCTGCCACCCCCACCGCCACAGCAGCAGCCCATTCGGCACTTCCGGCTGCCGGAAATTAACGTTCAAGCGAACAACTATACCTACGGAACTGGTTAACGTGCAGCGAGCGGTTGACGAAGGCCGAGACATTGAGCCCCCTTGTGTACGACACATGAGCGAGGATGAGTTGCGCGACTTTCTACAGACTCCCCTTAAAACGGGGGCCCCCTGCCATACCCAATCCACCGAAAGGGCTGTAAAGCTGACCACCGAATCAGTCACAGCTGTAACAGGCGCAGACCGACAGGACGGCTACGCTCTGAACAAACGGGCCTACCGAAACAAAATGAAAAAGTAGCATTACTTAGCTTCATCCATGTGTCGTACACAAGGTATGTTAGTCACTTTGTTCTCATGTCACCCGACTACATAGTGTGAATAAACTTCATATCAACAGTGAACGAAGTGTCATATGTTACTCAGATCAATCCACCTACGTTCCTCGCTATTGTAAATGGCTCCCGAGCGCACTCCATTATTTCGCCAATTCACGATAGTCATTTATCCAATTCAACATTAGGTCTAAAATATGTCTGAAGTAACATAAAAATGAAGTGAACATTTCTGTCGTGCTTTGATAGACGTAGCATAACGACCACGACGGTCGCAAGTGACCGCCGGGGCTGTAAACGGCACGGCAACGACCGGCCGGCGGGCGGCTACGCCAGCGCCATCTATGGAGAGAATCGGGTAACTAACGCAAACCTTCCGAGCCTTATGCTTTCCTGCGAGGCCGGTGAAGCAGGCGGCGTGCCGATTTCGACGTCGCTGTATGCCGAATCGACTGGTACATGCATTTAGCGATACATTGTTCATATTTTTTCATTACATTCATCATATTATGCAAAAACATGCAAAAATTGAGAAAACCGGAAATATTCAAAGAGCCGGGGCGGTCAAAAAAAATTCGAATTTTATATTTTTTTCCGCCGGATTCGTGATCAGCACCCCCAAATACGTTAGATTAGACCTGGGGAGCAAAACTTTTCGAAACTTCTTGCAAAACCGGTCACCCTACTATCACGGGTACCGGCCTGCCAGGGGCACCACCGGCCTCGCAGGGGCACCATGGGCCTGTCAGATGCACCACTGGCCTGTCGTTGGCACTTGAGGCTTGTCAGTGGGCACCACAGTCCTTCCAGGGGCGCCACAAACCTGTCAGGGGCACCTGCGGCCTAGCAGGGGCACCACAGGCCCGCCACGAGCAACACACACAAAATAAAATTTATAAAAAAACGAAAATAGGGCACCACCAAAATGAAGTGGACGAAATCCGATGAGTTTTTTAATTTTGGGCATAGGTAGGGGCACCACTTCGATTCATGACCCTCCCCTTGGAGTTTTCCTGGATCCACCCCTGACGCGAGGGGACTTTGCGTTTGAAACAACGCTCTACGCTCGCATGCGATATCACGCCACGTTTGTGCAGGTCCTTACTCACAAGTGCTCGTTTATTTAGGTATATCCGGCAAACAGTGCTTGGCGTGTTAACGCAGACGTTAAAACGTATTCGTCATCTTTTTGATACCGTCACTTACACAGCACTAGGGGGCAGCGTATGATAATGGCTCGTGGACTGAGATCGATGAAAGAAGGGGTGTGTGTAAGTATACCTGTGATTGTCATTGAACGTTTCCATCGAGCAAGCTAACACATTTTATTTGTTTCAGTTCGGTGTTGCTGGTCTCAGCTCTTCTTTCCATCTGTCTCTGCTGAACGGAGAGGTAAGAACTGAGAACATGAAACAAATCACCAGTGGACAGTGGTTCGTACTTCGTTATGAACACCTTTCCACCCGACACCTAACTGTATACCGTAAACCAGTTCCACACTTGAAATGCTAGCATATACTCATTAGGAACAATGGAATAGTTAGCGGGAACTATTTCTTATATGCGTTATTTTGGTTTTCCCTTGCCACTGGCCTCCAGTCAAGGATTTAGTGGTCAGCTGTGTTGTACAGTCCACGCTTGCTAAATGACACTGTTTATTGGACCGCATCTTGGACTGCGTCTCAACTAACCACACCCTGAAATCTTATCATGGCCACTGCTATTTCAAATCGCGTAAGTCTGATTGAGAAACGAAGTGAGTTCTAATCTGTTACGCTTCATTACATCTATGACATGCACCAACTGATGTTTTATCCGCACTTTCCGCCGCTGTTTCAGTTCACCCAGAAGAGGAGCGTCCAGTTCCGACTGTGTCCGCGGGACGAGGTGAACAGTATCGACGGACCCGTGGTGCCCGTCGTGGAACAGGTGGTGCCCGTTGTGGAAGAAGTGGTGCCCATGGTGGAGGAGATGGTGCCCATTGAGGCTCTCAGCCCGGACCGCATCGATGGTAAGGAACGACCGCTGCCATGTTTTGCTTCATGTTTGGATGGAATGGAGAGAGGGTTTCAAATGACCATTTGTGTCTATTGTCACTTTGCGTCGAGGCATCATTAAAGCACAGCGTATTTATCGGACCACAAACCACGCATCACATAAGGCTTTAAATGACATCATTGGACTGATAATAAATAGAAGTTTGAGCCTATAACCGAAAAGCGGACATGAGCAGCAAACCGTCACCAACATTCCCATCCACCTACCCACTCCTCTATCAGCGCCTTTCCCACTGGTTTCCAATCTCTTTGACCGAGCGTCAGGCCACTTCCACTACACTAGCCCGGACAAGCTGTCGCCGTTCGTCCTTTCACCACGGATCCAGCTGACAAGAGGTGAACGGACTGAGCCGGTTCGCTCGGCTGGCCACCCGTGACCGAAGCACGCCCGCCGCGCTTCTCACACGGCTAATGAACACTCACGAACCACCAGTGCGCGGTCACGAACTGCGTCGGATCGTGAGGCTTCACGGCCATGGGCTGGAGACATTCAGGATGTGTGTTAGACGGTGTGTGTTCCGAATTATCGGTTTCTTACAGAAATCGCCATGTCATGCAGGATAGTGAGCAAGCCCTTCTATTAGTTGGCTCAAGCACTGAGATGATCGATTTGAGTGGCAAAAATCGGCACGTAACCATGGTATAAGCTTAAGTAAGCTGTCTGTTATTTTTGTCCATCTGACCATTCCCAATGTGACCAGGTAGTAGGTAGCAGAGCGACCAACTAGCACAGATCAGGTGGCAGCACAGCACAGGCCCGGCACTAACTCCCCCGTCTCGTCCCACAGAATCAGCGCCGTCCGCGCCGGGAGCCGTTCTTCCTCCACAGCGGCCGCTCTTCCAGTTCCCTGAGCTGAAGCTGCCCAACTTCGGCCAGATCTTCACCGAGGCGTTCGCGCCGGTGTTCGGTCCGCGTCCCGGCACTGAGGAGGAGGACGCCGGCCTGGGTCTGTTCGGCTCGCACCTAAACCCATTCGCGGTGCGCCACCCGCCGGCCGTCACCGGTCCGCAGCACGGGTTCTTTGCCTCGCTGTTCCCGGCGCTGGCCGCCACGCCGCCGCCGCAGGGACCGCCCGACGGTGAGCAGGGGAAGGGAGAGAGAGAGAGAGAGAGAGAGAGAGGGAGAGAGGGAGAGAGGGAGAGGGGGGGAGGGAGAGAGGGAGAGGGAGAGAGGGGGGAGGGAGAGAGGGGGGGAGGGAGAGAGGGAGAGGGAGAGAGGGAGAGGGAGAGGGAGAGGGAGAGGGAGAGGGAGAGGGAGAGGGAGAGGGAGAGAGAGGGAAACCTGCCACCGCGACCGTTTCCGTTGGCAAGACGGCACGATCGTATTGAGCACGACTGTTGAGAAGTTAACCAGATCGTCTTTCCTTTTATAAAGCTAAATCGTTGACAGAAGTGTGTCATATTAGACGATGCGATGAACTCGACATTACCATGACCCAACTGCTGCTTCACAGGCATTGACATGGACAACTGCGACAGCCAGAAGTTTGACGTGTCCCGCTTTGTCTTCAACGTCGCCAACCGTTGTCAGTACGCTAACGACTACAGGAAGGTGAGACTTCCAATTAGCTTTATTAGCAGCAATCTTTTAAGATGTGTTGCCCGCTGGTAATTGGCAAGGGATATGATCATTTGTGACACATCACCATTAAACTAAGTCGTAACAAAGACACGTCACCTGCTGATACCTACATAGCTTAAGCTGGCACATTATAACCTGGCCAGGACGCGCCTATACAGGGTCTTGATCAGGACGTAACGATATGACCGTTTCACATATGCAAGGCGGCCCAAAGTGCTGGTTTTCAGTTCTCACATTTCTGGCTACGTTTGGGGTTCCCCATGCTTGACCGTCGACCTCTCTCAGAATGCATTCCCACGACGGCTGACGACCGGCCGATCCCTTGCAGTGCCTCCGCCTGGATTTGGCCGGCGACAAGAGCGCCCAGGAGCTGCTGGACTTCGCCACCGACACCGACTACAGCGTGGTCGCCTCCAGCTTCTCTTCGTTCCAGACCACCTTCGACCTGGAGTCGCTCCACGACGGAAAGGGTCTGCTGGTGAGTGGCACTTCTGCTCTTCTCCAAGGGTCACTGGTGGGCAATGCAATGCCACGGAAACTACTTTGCTTTTTTGTACCAATTTCTGCAGGTATAACGATGTTACCTGGGTATCATGGTTTCATTCGGTCCTAGCACTAAACTTTTGGTCGAAATGCTACTTTTTTGATGCTTTGTACATAAGCAAGAATATTGCAAACGTCATCCGTGATGGGTTACATATCAAACGTATATGGGACCTGTAAGTTTTCTAATGGCCCTTGTCTCGTTTCGTCAGGACCTGAAGCGGAAGAACCAGATCGACCTGCGCCGCTGCGCTAACATCGTGAAGGAGGTGACCACCGAGGTTCCCATCGAGGAGGCCACCACTGAGGCTGAACCCGTCGCCGAGGAGGTCACTCCTGAGGTTGTCACTGAGGTCATCGAAGAGCTCGTCCCTGACGTCGCGGAGGTCATCCCGGAGGGCACCCTTGACATTGTATCCGAGGAGATCCCCGTTGTCATCGAGGAGTATCCTTCGGAGCTGGCTCCCGGTGTCGAGGTTACCCCTGAGGTAGCTCCGGAAGAGCCTCAGGCGACCACCGAGGTCTTCGAGACGGTCCCGGAGGTTGTCGAGGCCGTGGACGCTGAGAAGGAGGCTGTAGAGGCCAAGAAGGCTGCCGAACCTGAAGAGCCGGTGGTTGTGGCTGAGAAGCCAGTAGAGTCTGAGAAGCCTGTGGAGACTGAGAAGCCTCAGGAAGCTGAGCCTGTGACTGAGGTGGCTGTGGAGACCGAGAAGGTGGCTGTGGAGACCGAGAAGGCCCCTGACAGCGTGGAGACGCCAGTCGAGGTGTCCCAGCCGGTGGAGTTCGAGGGAAACGTCGAGGCCGGCCCTAAATGTGAGTACAAGTCATAGTACATGACTATTTACTTTGCATTGAGTGTGAGATAGTTGAGTAAAGCCGTCGTCACTAAAGCTCTAGCAATAAAAAATTCTTTTCGCCAACAATGCCGCCTCCTACAATTCTTTGACGACGAACACTCGAGTGGTTTGACATTAGGACGTTTATAACTTTATGGTCCTGCACGGCACTTGCATTTTGTGTTGACTGCAATAACATTGATGCCATTTTCAGATGATCTTGCCGAGCCATAAACACTTCGACGTTCGTGCTTGGATGGTCTGAAGATTGACGTCAGGAAACCACTGAGTCGGCTTTATACAAGTTCCGTCCATTCTTGTCTGTATATTTTCGTGGCATCTAAACTCTAAAGGATAAAGTTTTGATGCATTCTTTTTACCCACTTGAGGCTTTTACAGTTGGCTATATGTGATGCATTTTGATGTTTGGATCACATCATGTTCAAATGCATTTCAGATCGTAGATATGTAGTAAATGTACTATTTATCCCTCGCCCGCACATGGGGGGGGTGGTTGCCACCCCCCCCCCCCAGGTAGTCTTTCTGCTCTGCACTCAACATTTTTAGAGCTAGAAAGCTGATTTTTCGTATAGCTGCTCCTCTATCCTTTCTTGATGTCCACTGAAAATTTCAAGTTTCTGTGATTTTCGGTTTCGGAGATATGACCTTGTTTTTCAGGTCATGTCATGACCCAAATGGCCAATTCTCAACATCTTGCGCTGGCTATGGGCCTTGTGAGCTTTTGACACCTTGATTTCGGCCTTTTTTGCCAGTCTTACCTCCCAACTATCATGGAACATGTTGTTCGACGATGTACAGATGTCAAGGTCAAGGTCAAGGTCAACCTAGGTCATCTAAGATAATTGCGTTTTAGGTAAGCGGAAATTACTTTTTGTCAAGTTTTTTGACTACATTTTTTGTAAAAGCTTCTCAGATCATGATTTCATGCAATATGGACACAAAAACAATCGGTGCACACATAAGTATACACACAGACACACACAGACATACAAACACGTATTATTGACCTTGACCTAACTTGACCTGACATGACCTCAGCAGCAAAAAATCTGGTCGGGTAGTGTGACAAGGAGGTTCTAGCTGGCTTGGCACCAGAAAACAGCATCGTCATCGGTATATGGTAAGCAGCGCACTTGATATCCAAAGTTGACCCAAAATAGCAACATTTTTTAGTTTGACCTGACCTGGAAGGTCAATGACTGACCTGAGAAGGTAAAACTGGGTATCATTGGATTCGTCTCTTCCCAAAGAATCTTTTTGGTCTTTACCGCTAAGCTCTATCTCCAACAGGAACGAAATGGCGCGGGGGGGGTGGCAACCCCCCCCCATGTGCGTTCTAGGATGGGAAAATGGCATGTGCGGGCGAGGGTTATCGGAGTGGAAGAGGCCTTGTTATTCGTTATTGGCTGGTTTTGAGCGCTGTTAGTAGGCTGCAAGGAAGGAACGCCTTAGCGTCACATAGGTACAGGTGACTTTAATCGAGCATTTGGCGCTAATTGCTTGCGATGAGCTGTCACTACGTATTGCAGATTGAACTTTCATTTCATTGGCGATCACGTTCCGACTGAAATCGCATCCTACAATGTGTAATGTTTTATGTTACGCTGGTGTTCATAGTACGCTATTTATCTTCATTGTATCTCAGTATGGTTAGATGTGAGACGTTTTTTTAGAAATGTGCATTGGAGTACACGTATTTTGCAGCTGTGAAATACTTTTGAATACAATCCGATGTTTAGTATTTGGTGTTTGGATCGACTTTCAATTGTTAAATATAAATTGCACTAAACCAATATAAGTGAACAAGTCGCCCCCCCTAGAAAACACCAGTCCCGTTGCGTAGTGATTCGGGCAGAGGGGAAAATCTTGCGTAAAACAGGAGTTTGTAACATGAAGAATGCCTTCGAATGTCTATAGGCCTGCATTGTAAATACATTCAGCAACACAAACACATCACCGAATATTTCAGTGCACAGCATGCGGGATCGAACATGTCGACAAGAAAGACGATCGATTTGCCAAGCGACGGGAAATTTAATAACATACCCCTGCTATTTATTTTCACTGTATAGTGTATAGTAAAAGAAAAGTTGGCTTCTGGTGTCTGTTCTGGCAAGCAAAGTGTCTCAGTTTAACTTCAACTCTCAAACTTAGTTAACCTAATAGAAATGAGTAATGACTTTGTCTAATTATGCACCACTAAAGGTCAGGCTTTGCGAAATTACCGAGTTCAGCCTATTTTTACAGTCCTTTGACTCCTTTGCACTTCCGGCAGCCATGCGAGGTGCGGAGAGAGTGGGAGTTTGACACATTTCTACATTATTCTATACGGCGGATGAGAGGGGGAGGGGTGTCACACAGGAAGGTCATTTCAGACAATGTTTATTGTACTTGGGATATTCTAAATAGCCCAAATCCACATGTACATACAATACCATTTACACAATCATTTGACTCCTCTCACACAGGGGAAGTGCTTCTCTTTTCACGCTACAAATTTCTCGTACATCACTTACACATCACACACAAGCGCACCTGCCTTCGAGAGAGAATCTGAGGCCTGAATTTGAGTACCGCCATCGTTTACCGTTCTTCTTACACCACTAGTGCTTACAGTCCATACATTCAACTTACATCGCCGTACGCCATCGTACACAGTTTGAAGTAAATATAGGTGAATCATATACCTACATTGATTCATAGTTGTATAAAAATGCACATATTACGACACTGAAGAGGCTTAGCTAAATCAACCTTATTTCTATCGTTAATAACATGGAAAACATCTAAAGCCTTAACTACCCGGCGAATAAATAAGTATGCCAATTGCCAAGTGACTCTGTCAAGACGAAACATGGCTTGCTTTTGGAGAGCATTGCTAGCTTTCATTTGTTTCATCCTGAGCATACAATAAAATCCTCACCCCCTTCTTGCCCAAGCAATCACTACTGCCTGGTACCCTGGTCCTCTAACACCCTGTGGCTGCGCCGGTGACCTCCGCTGGCCTCTCTGACCTCCCTTCTGCCGCTCAGTTCCTCCCGTCGAACGGCCGAGCTGACTGCGCGCCAGCGGTCGGCCTTGTGAGACACTCCAGCTTCCAGCCTCACACCACCCGATGTCGCTGCCGAGCGACGGTGAACACTGTGACCGTCACCGTGCCCGCCTAGGCCGAGGCCTTTGCCGAGGGGCACGACGAGAACGTAGTCGCCGCCGCTGCCATGTCCACCATATCCACCGCCTCCTCCGTGCCCTCCAGAGTGTCCACCGCCTCCGCCGTATCCCATACCGTATCCTCCGCCATACCCATACCCTCCTCCGCCATGGCCATACCCACCGCCTTTGCCATGGCCGCCGCCGTACAAGAACGGACCGTAGCCCCCTGGCCAGACATAGTGGTAGTGGTGCTTCACCTTGCTCTTGCTGTTGTATCTCTTGCCAGAACTCTTCCCTTTGTCGTAATAACTGTAGCCATGCCCGTAGCCGCCGTAGCCGCCGTAGCCGCCGTAGCCGCCGTAGCCACCGTAGCCATGACCGTAACCGCTGTAGGGGACGATATGGTGGTAGTGGTGGTAGTCCTTGCCCTTGCTTCGGCCCCAGCCGCTGGAGGTGGCCGCGGCAACGGAGATGATGGCCAGCAGGAGACAGCCCGTGATCGCCTGGGAAACAACGCCGCGCAGTAAGACAGGAACAGTGTGAGACCGGGGGTGTAAAAGGTAATGTAGGGGAATGCATCTTAGCTAGATGGTGCGAGGTACATAGTTGACAAACAACGATAAATGGGGCTGTGTGTAATTCGAGTATGGATCTACGCGAATGGAACAGGACTCTTCACTTTAACGGGAGTTTATATCAACGGGACGCAGCGGGAAGCTTGTGAATATGAAAACAATGTTACCATGCGATATTGATTATTGAATATCCAAAGATGACTATCGCGAAAGGCGAAAACTTCCAAAAACCCAATCCACTTAACTCATTGGTTCCTGATACCTACCACTAATGCATACATGCATTGGAATGCCAGTTACACATACGAAACAAACTAAATATAAGGTTCCTGACGATTGACGAAATACGATCGATAAAAAGGGCACCTACTATTGGTGACCCGCGACGCACTGTTGTCAGTGTTGCAACTGGTTTGTGCAACGGTACGTCATACCTATACCCTGCGCCATACCAGCATGTAGACATGTTATGCAGTGATGATAGCGACATAGATAACTTGAACTACCAGTGTGTTCACTATCGGTAGTTCATGTTATCGACAGCGAGATGACGGCGAGTATCAAATGAGGATAAGCAATTACATGCACATACATAGATTAGGTAATGGTACGCCTTGCTCAATCCGTGTTGTATCGAGCGTATGAAAAGAAACTAAAAGTTTCAAGGCACAGTTTCGAATTTATGATATGTAGGTAAGTAATTAAAGCTAATTGATTAGTTATCAAGTCAGTAAGCTTTCTGACTGGATAACAATTTATCAAAATAGGCGTGTATTTCCTCCCCCCCCAAAAAAAAACACAAACAAAACACATTTACCTGAGTAACTACAGTAACCAATAGCCATGTTCGGTTAAGCCTCAATTCGCTTTTGAAATAACCAAAATAACCCGATGCTGTTAATTTAAACCTCGCCGGACCTATTTATCTTCTACATACGAGTATGCCCTGGCCGAGGGCCGAGGGGGATGACCCCCTCGCTGTTTCGCCCCTAATTGAGTTAGGACCTCGCGAAAAAAGGAGCATGTGCGCCGTTACGAGACACAGCGATTGGTAGCCGATTTTAAAATCCCAGATCTCGAAGGTCAGGTCAAGTGCCCCATAGTACAGCTTCCGTTTCGGTAAATAACTTCGCCAAAAATAGTCACAGAGCCGCGATTTTGACACCACAGGCGCACAGGTGCGTCGAATGGTAAGTACCTATACGTTTTGCTCGGGTGAGGTCAACCTAAGGTATTGGTCTCGGGTCAAGGTGAGGTCAGAACGCCTCAGGTCACGAGGCTGGTTGAAGGAGGTCCTACCGCATATCATTCGATTTGGCTGGTTTTTCCGAGTCCATTAGTTGCTTTCGCGACCCACTAGCTCAATTTGATCGGGAGTTATTGACGAAAAACTCTTATTACCTTCAAGTGCCCCGACGTCTTTTGGATGTTTCACTTTTGCATTTTGACAAAAGGTCAAAAATGCAAAAGTGAAACATCCCACCTTTTAAGGTGAGGATTAAATCACAATTCCGTGCACTTGAGATAATTTTAGATCATTCCCCCCAGCGCCAAAATAACAGCTTCTTTCTTTCCCCATTGACTTATAGGTAATGGTGATGTCACGTGATCGACCTGACCTAAGGTGACCCTTAGGAAAAATAGGGTTGACTTTCCAGGTCAGGTCAATGACCCAAAAGTCGGAAAGATCGGAAACTGCCGGAATATCGTACAGCGAGCTTGTTGTGGGGTGTCTCTGGGTCCTGATAACGAATTCAATGTTAGTTTTGATAAAATATTAAATAAGTACCTAGCTAAAATTCGGCGGATTGCGTCAATCGTTATGGTGTCAACCACCACTGACAGATTCGTAACATGTTGCGTAGGCACCAAAACTACTTCCTAAATTTTCAAATGGTGTTAAAATCGAAATCAACTCCAAAAAACTACCCAAGAAACGTGTACCTAAAACTAGTAAAATTGATCCTAAGCAGGGTTACTTTTAAAGGGGGGGGAAGAGGGGAATTTCCCCCCTTCGAAAATTCCGCTCCCCCTTTCAAATTGTGTCTGAACGGCTAGGGAGGGAAGGGGGAATTTCCCCCTTTCAAATTTATTTTGGAGCCCATTTTCAATCAATTCGCTATTCAGATTCTATAGTCATCGTTAATCAGATTCTCGTCATCAATCAACGTTGCTGGCGTTAAGATAATTATTAATTTTCAATTTTCGGTTCCATCCAACCATTTTACGTTCAGTGCAGCAGGAACTCCAGATTTGACCCGATACCGATCGGATAGTCGGTGGGACCGTCTCTTGTCTTGTCTCTTCCGTCTTTTCGCAATCACTGATATATCGGTACAGGCGTCGGCGTAGAAACCGGCGGGGGACGGGATTACCTCTCCGAACCAAGGGTGGATACAGGGGGAGGGGGGCAATGGGCCATGGCCCCTCCTTTGACGCAAAAAGAAGGTGACCCCCTTTTGGACCCCCTTTTATATTCTGTGTTCTTTCTCAGAAACGACCCATTTATTCACGATTATTTTCACTTTTTCATCGACGCCAAGGCCAGACATCTAAAATTTTTGTCCCAATATGACAATGGCCGTGTTTAACCATCCTCCAAACCGGAATCATTGAAGGAAAAACAACGTTATTTTTGTCCCATAGGCATCAAAGCTTTGAGTAATAAATGACTTTTCTCTTTATGCAGCATTCACGTTCATCTGCTTTGCATGCAGAGCAGGGCGCAAAAAAAATGTACCTCATCACAGCCGGCTTTCCCAATGGAACTTTCACTGCTCACTAATACTAATAGTAATAATTCAAGTTTTGTGCTTCATTAGTTTTTGTTCGGATATCACTGCCCACCTTGTAGTTGTAGAGGTTGCAGTTTTGTAGCGCCGTCGTTTCTCTACATACACGACCACACAAAGAACTTTGGAATTGCTCGTTAACTGTAGCTTTTGAGTTTTGTGAGCGTTTAAGAATTTCATGTTTTTTGCTCATTTTTGCTCGAACAGTTTGACATCAATT